CTTCGTTGGGAAATGTCAGTTAAAATTTACACCCTTACTGTAGTGAAAAAGATGTAAAAAATAGAAATGGCTTTCTTTTCAGACACTGTCACTATCTCTCTCTTGCATATGGCTTCCAGTAAGAGTTTTTTCTTTTTTTTCTTCTTCTTCTCCTACTTCACTGATGGTTTGGCTATGGAATCTCAGAAAACTTGGGCTCTTGCCTATAACTAAGAAAGCAAAGTCCTGATACAGAAAATGTTGAAGTGTATAGAAATCGATACTTACTATTTTTAGATTGCATATCAACATAAGACTTAGAATTCAAGTCCCTTGTCTTTATCTATTAGTAGATGCTACGCAAAAGCGATCCCTTTCTTGTGAGTAAAGGCATAGAAATAGCCCAACATTTCCAGAACTTTGGTCCTTTTATCTACTTCAGTGGATCACTTGAACTTGAAGGATGCCATTTTCAATGGTGAGATTGAAGAACACTATCCGTGCTGGATAGTATGTTTCCAGTAATTAAAATATTTCCCCCCAGACAAGCTGCATACATATGATAGCCGGGTAAGGAAAAAGACATGAATTTTATTCTTGGCTATTATACCTTGCCATTCCATTCTTTAATAGAATGATCATTTCAAGTCCAAATTATTTAATAGTATGATTTCATATCTGTCTATCTAGTCTTTGGGATATGCCAAAATTACCCCTCACATTGTAGAAGTGAAAATATTATTTACACCAATTTGAGGTTCTGCGTAGAGCCAGAATTAGATATTGAATTAATATCTAATTAATATCTAAGGTGAAAGTAATATTTAGGAAAAGTAAAATGTAAAAAGTAAAGGTAAAATGGTTGAATGAGTGATGATGTTCTATGATCTGAGGTTACTTAGTATGGTACTTTTTCTTGAGTTCAAAAAGCTAAGTTAATTGTGGTCTTATTAATAAGTTTAACATGCACTGGCTACGACTAAAAAAAGACACATGTAAACCCGTGACATCTAGACGTCGTATCAGCTGGAGGAAATGCCGGCAGAACTCCTAAACTGAGAGTTTAGTGATACAGCAAGACACGCCTGGAGGAGTCACACAGCCAAATTTATCGCTGCCATTTCCACCAAATGTTCCCAAGGAGCTTCTAAAATGGTGCCTGCAGTAGAAAGTTGGCCCTTTCCTCCTTGTGGGCCCTCTGGGTCCCTGCTCAGACCGTGGGGTCCTTCCACTGTCACCAGCAGCAAAGGCATCAAGACCCCCAGGCAGGCCCTGATCCCACCGCACCCCCTCAGTCAAGATTCTTAATAAAAAGACCGGGTGTAGCCACCCTCCAAGGTGGCCCCAGAGACCTGTCCCTGCTGTGTGCACCTGCACCCTGGTGGCCCCCTGCCTCGTACACAGGTTGGTCTGCACGACCGATGGTGGAGGTCTGTCATCCCCGAGACCTGGTGAGTCGAGGCTGCAGCTTCTGTCCTGTACGTTCTCTCCCTGCCTCGCTCCGGGGGACACCAGCTGCCCTGCCCTGCTGTGAGTGGCCCGGGGTCTCTGGCCGACAGATGGGGACAAACAGAGGTGACCACAAGATGGAATCTGGAAGCTGATTCTCCAGAGTTGTCAGCCTTGAGGTGAGAGAACAGAGACTTGATCCAGAGTCACCCAACAAAGCCACTCCCGCTTCCCAACCCTCAGAAACCGAGCAAAGTAAGAAACATTCACTGCCTTAAGCTGCTAATTCAGTTCAGTTGCTCAGTTGTGTCCAATCCCATGGACTGCAGCACGCCAGGCCTCTGTGTCCTTCACCAACTCCTGGAGTTTGCTCAAACTCACATCCGTTGAGTCGGTGATGCCATCCAACCATCTCATCCTCTGTCGTCCCCTTCTCCTCCTGCCCTCAATCTTTCTCAGCATCGGGGTCCTTTCCAATGAGTCAGCTCTTTGCATCAGGTGGCCAAAGGATTGGAAATTCAGCTTCAGCATCAGCATCAACCCTTCCAACGAATATTCAGGACTGATTTCCTGTAGGATGGACTGTGTGGATCTCCTTGTAGTCCAAGGGACTCTCAAGAGTCTTCTCCAACACCACAGTTCCAAAGTATCAATTCTTCGGTGCTCAGCTTTCTGTATAGTTCAACTCTCACATCCATACAAATCACCGCAGATGGTGACTGCAGCATGAAATTAAAAGATGCTTGCTCCTTGGAAGAAAAGCTATGACCCATTTAGACAGCATATTAAAAAGCAGAGGCACTACTTTGTTAACAAAGGTCTGTCTAGTCAAAGCTATGGTTTTCAAGCTGCTAAGTTTTATTTAGTTATTTTCGGCGGCACTGGGTCTTCCCTGTGGCTTTCTCTGGTTGTGCTGGGCAGCTTCTCACTTCGGCGGCTTCTCTTGTTGCAGAGCACCAGCTATAGAGCCCGGTCTCAGGAGTTGTGGGGCACAGGCTTCGTTGCCCCTTGACATGAGGAATCTTCCCTGACCGGGGACTGAACCCATGTCCCCTGCATTGGCAGGTGGATTCTTAGCCACTGGACCACCAGGGAAGTCCAAGCTGTTAGGTTTTAGAAAGCTTACTCACCCAGCAATATCAGATCAGTATAGCAGTAAAATTCTATTTTGTTGTTTTGCTATTTATTTAGTTTTATTTTATATGGGAATATAGTTGATTAATAATGTTGAGTTAGTTTCAGGTGTGCAGCAAAATGATTCAGTTCTACATATACATGCTGGTATCCTTTTTCAAACTCTTTTTCCACCCAAGTTATTACAGAATATTAAGCACTATTCCCAGTACTATACAGGAGGTCCTTGTTGGTCATCTAATTTTAAACACAGCAGTGTGAACATGTCAATCCTAAATTCCCAATCTATCCCACTCTCCCCGCTTTCCTTCCCTGGCAGCCCTAAGTCCATTATCTAAGTGTGAAGAAAATCTGCCTTTGCCCAGTTTTGAATTGGGTTGGGTTTTTACTTTTTTGGTGGCTGTTGTTGAGTTTTAAAAGTCCTTTACATATTTTGGATATTAATCCTATATCAGTTATATGACTTGCAAATATTTCCTCCCATTCCATAGGTTGCTTTTTCATTCTGTTGATAATGCATTAATGGATGCACAAAGTTTTAAATGTTCATGAAGTCCAATTTGTCTATTTTTATTTGTCTATTTTGCCTGTGCCTTTGGTGTCATGTCTGAGAAGTCATTGCTACATCAAGGGTTGTGAAGCTTGTGCCATATAAGAGTCTTATAGTTTTAGGTCTTATGTTTATCGCCTTTAGTGCATTTTGAGTTAATTTTTGTATATGGTATTAGGTAAGGGTCCAGTGTCATTCTTTTGCATGTGACTATCCAATTTCTCTAGTACCTTTTGTTGTAAAGCCTGTCCTTTCCTATTGAATGGTCTTGGTATTCTTGTTGATCATTTGACCACATATGTGAGGGTTTATTTCTGGGTTCTCTAGTCTGCTCCACTGATCACCATGACTGTGGTCATGCCAACAGAACACTGCTTTGATGACTGGAGCTTTATAGTAAGTCTTGAAATCAGGAACCATTAGCTCTCCAATTTTGTTCTTTTTCAAGATTGTTTTAGCTTAAGGATCCCTTGAGAGCCTGTATGAACTTTAGGATGGATTTTTCTATTTCTGCAAAAAACATCAATTTGATTTGACATGGATTGCCTTGAATCTAATAGATTGCTTTAGATGGCATTGTCATTTTAACAATATTAAGTTCTCTAATTCATGAGCATGGGAAATCTTTCCATTTCTAAATGTCTTCTTTAATTTTTTCAGCAATGTTTTATACTTTTAATTGTACATGGCTTTTGCCTCCTTGGTTAATTCCTAAGTATTTTATTATTTTTTGATGTTGTTGTAAATGGAATTGTTTTCTTAATTTCCTTTTCAGATTGTTTGCTGTTAGTGTGTAGAAACGCTCTAGTGGTTTTTCATCTGGTTTTTAACTTTTGCATCAAGTTTTCAATTTCAATAACTATATCTTGGGATTGTCTTATGTTTTCAATTAGTTCTTTGATTTCTTTAATCATTTCAGTCATTTTCATTCTTTATAGTTCTTTGGTTCCTAATCTTTCTCTTCATTGTATCTATTGACTCTTTCTCTCATAGTAAATTGTTTTCTAGTGGTTTTTGAAAATTTTTACTTTAAACTTACTTTCAGCAAGCCATTGAATATGAGAATTTTATGCGGTCTGTATAGAGGGCTTTTCTATCCAGAGAAGTTTGGCACTTGATATTGCCAAACACCCCAGAAGCATCACTCGCCGGGACCCCACTTTATATTAATTTATTGGCATTAGTGCAGTGGTAATGAAACTGCCTGCCAATGCAGGAGGTGCAAGAGACACAGATTTGATCCCTGGGTCGGGAAGATCCCCTGGAGGAGGGCAACTCGCTCCAGTATTCTTACCTGAAGAATCCCCTGGACAGAGGAGCCCGGAGGGCTACAGTCCACGGGGTTGCCAAGAGTCAGACACAACTGAGCAACTGAGCACACACACAGGCATTAGAATGTCTGAAACTAACTGGGTAGTAGATATTTGAACCTCCATTCCTCATGAGGGCAGATCTACTGATACGAATTTTCAAGGGAGCTATTTCTTTCCCAGCCTGAGCTCAGGCTGACAGATGGACTTTCTTATGATCTACTGAGCAATATATTTTTTTAGTCTATACTTCAGCTGAGATTGGGGGCCTTCAAGGGTTCTGCATGGTGGTCTCAGCTGCGGCGCCCTGGTTCCACATGGTTTGCAAACCTTGACCAGTGCCCCCACGTTGCTGAGCCCGGCGCCCCCAGCCAGCAGGGCCACAATGGTGGGCCCGCCCCTGCTCCCCCTCCTCCGCTTCAGCTCTGTCTGCCCGTGTCCTCTGGAGCCTTCCCTGGCATTCTTGTGACCTCGGGCTGGTGCCACTCAGAGTGCCCGTGTCTGTGGTTGGCACTGAACTCAGTACCTGCCACTGAGTTTCTCAACCCATCTCACGGCCTCTGTCTCAGATGACCTTTATGATGAACCGGAAAGACATCCAAAGTCTTGGCAGCGTCATCAACCAGAACAAAGACACTCAGAGCCTGGAGGCACCTTCCCACCAGGACAGAAGGGGAGGGTGGGTGGTGAGTCAGGCTACTGACTCTCCAAGTGGTCCTGGAGCCGCGTGCCCACACTGTGGAGAGCAAGCCCCATAAATAATTAACACTGAAATATTTTTTTTAAGAAAAGCTCATGGTACAACTTTTTTATGGACAAGAATGCTATTTCCTTTTAAATTCAGAAGCCCCTTCTTCACTCCAGTAGGACACGGGGCCGAGTCGCTCTGTCTGCGAACGGCTGTGTGTCCTACCTCACTCAAGTCACCTCTCAAGTTTCCACAGGATGGAGGATTTATGTCTGCCAACCTCTGAGGATTTATCCATAGCTTTGAGGACTAAGAGTAAATGTAAACTGACATTTATTGTTTGAGGTTAGTGTGACCTTGATTCCAAAACTAGATAAGGTCTGCACAAGATACCACAGCTCTATTACATTCTCAAAAATTCCAAGCAAAATATTGGCTGATAGAACACAATAGTGTCTATAAAAAGAACAATACATGTTCAGGTAGGATTAATTGCAGAAATGAAAGGGTAGTTCACATCAGAAAAATTGGTATCATATACTAGAGAAATAATATCAATAAATATGGTAAAAGCATTTTACCAAATTCAACCCCCAAATTATGATTTAAAATTCTCAAGAAATCCATAACAACGGAAGGGTTCTTCCTAAAATGGATAAAGACTATGTATTACAACATAGAGCCAGGTCATCCATAAGGGATGGAGGGTAACCTGTGCTCCAAGGGCCAGGATATGACAAGAATACCCACGTTCACTCACCCCTATTCCTTTAACACAGCATTGAAGATTCTGCCTAAAGTGCTTAAATAATTCAGAAAGAAAGGAAAAAAATTCAGTTAAACAGAAGCTTAAGGTAAGAGAAGGGAGAACGTTCGGGCTTTCGTTGGACTTCACAATTCATGTTTCTCCACAATCCCCTTATCATCTATTTGAAGCCAAGGATCACATCTGATACTTAAAAAAAAAAAATCCTGGTGTCGAGTTGGTGGTAGATACTAGTTTGCAAAAGGGATCTTATCCAAATTATGAAGTAGTAAAGATGAAATGAGTCGCATGTGGAAACCACTGTACATGTGCTAGAGAAGTAAGCCTGGAGGACACCATCCTTCATTTTCAAAAGGCTGCATCTCCCTGATGCTGACTCCACATCTAAGCCTCAAAGCCCCTCGCCCGAGAGGACCACCGCTCGCGAACTGCCCTCCTCGCGGTGGCCAGCAGGTGGCGCCCGGCCTCCACCGGCCGGACCCGGAAAGGCCCGCCGGGCTCCGGCGCCCCAAGTCCCCTCGGAAGGGCGCCCGTTTCCCGGACACGGCTGCTCCCTTAGGTCGTCGATCGAAAGGCGCGAACGGCCCGCAACTCCTACCGACGGTGGGGGCCCGGCCCACCCCACGCTTCCCGGGCAAGACCAGGGAGCCCTCGCGCGGGGGACCCCTCCGTCCGGGTCAGACACCGTCTCGGTCCGAGCCGACCGCGGGCGGGGCACCGAACCTGGGGTCTGCGCTCCTCGCCCCCCAAGAAGGAAAGGACGCGGGTGGGCAGCAACCTGGCCTGGCGCTTCCCCACCTCGCCGCTCCCGGGTGCAGCCTCACGCGGGGTGGTCCGTCGCGCCGGGAGCTGGAGGGGCGGAGGACAGGTGGACCGACGGCCGGGTCCAGTCCTGAAGGGCGGCCATGGTCGGGATGACCGGCTCCGCAAGGGGCCCGCCACCGGAGCCCGGGGCTATGATGATCCACAACGGCGACGGCCCCCGGATCCAAGGACCTGCCCACCTGCGGGCGTGAATGCGGTCCGGGGGCGGGGACGATGCGCAGAGAGCGGGTGATGAGCAGAGCTGGCCCGGGAGGCTGCACGGCCACCCCAACCCCCCCGCCCTGGACGGGTTCAGGAGCCCGGCTAAGCTGGGACTGCCGGGGCCCCCGCCCCCGTCCGCGTCCCCGTCCCGCGCTCGGGCCGCGATGGATTTCGTGTCGGGCCCGGAAACGCCGCAGTCGCCCGGGGCAGACTCGCCGGCGCCACCCGAACACCTGTTTTGGCTGGGCCTGAGACGGTGGCCCCAGGTGAGACCACCCCCCGCCCCGCGCCCCATCCTCACCGGCCCATCCTCCCAGCTCCTTCTCCAGGTCCCGTCCACCCCGAACCGGCCTTCCGAGCATTCCACCCCCACCCTCAAGCCACACACCCCGGCGGAAGTGTCTTCCAACATGAGAAGGTAGTATCAATATACGGGGATACAGATGAATTGTAAACACGTTACCTACACTAGCTCTGCATTTTTAAAGCCAGGTCCCAACGTTGCCACGTGAGGGATGCGGTGGACACAGCACTCAGATCCTTCCCTGTGGCTCCCTCTCTCTCCTTCCCTGCGCAGTCCAAGCGCAGCCAAGGATGAAGGGCGATTTAAAGATTTAAACAGAAACCTGTCTCGGAGCCCGGGCAGGGCCCAAGCCTCCTCCCCAGGCTGGGTGAGCTACAGGTGCAGGAGGGAGCTCGCGGCCATATTACAGCTTCATCTCCAGGGCAAAGCGGCCTTAGAGGCAACCAGTAGCATGGAGGGTTTTTTTTTTTTTGTCCCACCTCTAAATCTTAAAATCAGGTTAGGAAATTCTGTGGATTCTTTTCTTTCCTGATTAACAGCAGTTTCATCTGCTGCAGAAGTGTCTTATCCACTCAGAAAAGTCGTCCTCCAGATTCCACATTTATTTGAACGGTCATCTAAAGTGCTAGGAGTCCCCACCACAGCAACTCTTGGGTTGGAAACCTCACCCCAAGGCACAGAACTACTTTTTCCTTGACAGACTAAGAGAAACTGCTGGGTTTACATATTCCGCAGCACAGTCAGCTCCCCTAAAAAGCAGCAACAGCCCTTTGCCCCAGAGTGCTAGCCCTGACCACACATCTATCTGATAAGGGCCTTCTCCGCACTTTAGATTCCAAGACTTAGGGGTGGTAGAAGCGATGAAGGAGGAGGGATTAAATAAAATGGCGAGATAGAGACAGAATCTTAAAAATCATTCAGAATTCAGGCATTGACTTCAGACATGTTTTATTATAATCTTATACAGTCTACATAAATTTGAACTTGTATTTATTTGGGTTCAGTTATAACATAGCATAATAAAAATCAAAGCACTGGTCCTCTGAAATAAAGCAGGCAATCACCATTCAATAAACACACTTGATTTATTTTGTATAAAAGGGTTAAGTTTACAACTAAACTTTTATAAAAAGTTTAGCATGAATAAGTACATCATTACACTTTATATGCAGAAATGTACATTTCTGCCACTATACAAGAAAACTCTAATTAAAGAGTTCACAAGGTTTCACTCAATATATATATATATTTATATATAAATATATACACAGCATTCAGTAGGCTTGCGTCAAAAAGGTAATTTCTGACCAAAAGACTTCATTTAAGTAACTGAATACTGGATCCTTCTGGTATTCACGCTCCACCTTTGAAAAAAGGCAAAGTCTGCTTAAATTGGGCAATTCCTTGTGATTTTAACATTTTCGCTCCCCATGGTGGGAATAGTATATAAAGAAAACCTTCCAACTGCAGAAAGGGCATTTAAAAGTCTTTTTCATAAATAACTAATATCACAGTCCAGGTCAGAAAACACCCTGGGGAAGTTGATCATTCTTAAGTTCTCCTTCCATTTTTTTTTTTTTAAAGGTCCATTTGACTTGTTGTCCTCCTTGTGAAATGGTTGAAAAGTAAGTTCAGCGCCTTAAAAGAGCCTGTGGATTTGTTGTTGTTGTTGTGCAAAGGGGAAAAAAAAGTCATGAACACCTGCAAGAGACCGGGAGAGAAAGGACTGTTAGGAGGTTTTAACCTAAGGGCAGAGGCAGGCAGACTGGCGCCTGGAGGAAGCCGCAGTTTGAACATTTAACCAAACACTCAAACATTGGGCAAACCCTGGCGTCCAGATGCAGCGCACACACTCGGCCTGGACAGCGCAAATTAAACATTAAAATAGCAGAGGCTCAGGGGAAAACTTCCCAACGCAATCTCCTATTTGGATCTCCAACGGCAGTGCTTACAGGCGCCAGTCTGCTTCTTGTAACAATTATTTGATTGAAAACAGCCCTTTAGTTAACAGATAGGGAAGTCGGAATCCCACATCACAGGGTCTGAGACACAGGGTAGCAATGCTCAGCTAGCCGAATCCCAGGGGGCTGGAGTTTTGGGGAAGGAGGATCCCTATGGAATTTGCGGTGATAAGATTAATTATATGGAGGTTAGTACTTCATAGTACCAGAGCAATAGCAGAAAACAGCCGGGGCATGTTACAGGCGCACAAGAAGCCAGTACGTCTTCTCCTTCACCACCTTGGGAATAAGTTACAGGCATTGAATTTTTTTTTTTTTTAAAGAAAAACGTTCTGGGATTTTGAGTAACAGGAACTAGATGGCCCTTCATGTCTAGTACGTGTAAACAATGTACTGCATGCAACACAACGAAGTACACGTTCACTTACCAACCCCCCAAATTTTACAGACACGCAAGTACCCACGCGCGCACACACACAGTCCAAGCGCCAGTTCATCAACGGGGGACACAAGCAGACACTCACCATTTATTCAGCCACAGAGCGCTTTGCTGTCATTAGACATTAACTCAGAAGGGAATTCAGAAGCCTGCGAGAGAAAGGGGTGGGGGGGCGGAAGGCACGAGACGTTAGACAACCTTAAGGAGAAAGAACCTTTAAAAAAAAAAGTTTTATTTTGAACAGCAAGTTCCAATAACCCACGTTTATGCTGAATTCAGACTCAGAGACATTAACATGTCATAACTTGACAATTTCACGCACACGACTCCTTCCACAGGAGATTTTTTTTTTAAATGACAATAACAGGGCTAGTGATGATAAAGTTATTACCCATCTGTAAGTCAGCGACTAGGGCCCGCCGTCTGACAACAGCTCTACCAGAGCATCGCTGGGGGGAGCGGGTCTTACCTGCAAGGACAGGATGCTGATGTCGGTGTTGAGGGTGGTGAGCGGCGTCCTGGACGCCTGGCTCTGTCCGGGTCGCTGGTGGTGCAGGCTGACGATGGTGGGGTGCGAGTCCAGCGCGATCTGCAAGTCCAAGATGTAGTCGATGACGTGCTGCAGGATTTCCATCTTGCTCACCTTCTTGTTTTGCGGGATGCTGGGCACCAGCTCCTTGAGCTTGGAGTAGCAGTCGTTCATGTTGTACAGCAGGCTCATCGGGTCGTCCACCGGGGTTTTGCTCCGGGAGATGCCCAGGCCGTGGTCCGAAAGGCTGTTTTTCCTAACGGACCTCACTGGACTGAAGGCTTTCATACTGACCGCGGGGAAGGGAAGCGAAGCGATTGGGAGGAGGGAAGCGCGCTGCCCCGAAGCTCAGGCCGCCGCCGACGCCGCCGCCTACAGACCTTTCTACGCTCGGCACCGCACTCGGCTCAGAATGAAGCGGGGAGCCCGGCCCGGCGGCTTTTATACGCGCTCGCCGGGGCCACACGACCTGGCTTCCCCGAGCCCCCATTGGTGGAAGGCGGCGCGTCCATCAGGCCAGGCGGGCGCGCCCATTGGCAGGAGCGGGCGCGAGGGGAGCGCTCGGTCCTTCCGCGTTCGCAGCCAATCGCCGTGGGGGTGGGCGGGACGGGCGCCAGACCAGCTGCGGTGGTAAATAGAGTACAGTGAGCGCGGGGCCCAGGGGGACTTGGGGGTGGGCAGGGGCCGGGGGAGGGCCGAGCACCCGGAGAAGTGGGGCGCGGACGCGGTGGGGGCGGGCACACCCCGGGAACGTAAGCGTGCACCCCAATCCCAATCCCTATCACTAGGCGGGACCGTCTCCCTAAAGGTACCCCCCGATGGAGGCTGCTACACCTCCAAGCTTTCAGCATCACTAAGATCACAGCACCACCGGCGGAGTCTGCACGGCAGAGGGGGAAAGCCACTACGGTTCCCCGCGCCTCCCGGAAAGTCATCAAGACGTTATAGAAAGCATTTTTGAAAAAGGGGAAAACGCAAATAAGTTTGCCATCGACAACTGATGTTTGTAGAGTGAGATTGGCCTCTTAAGATCAGGAAAAGCTTTGTAAAAACAAAAACAAACCCCAAAACACCCACGCGCGCGCATTTCAACGACAGGTTTAAGTGTGGGATCGTGCAACCCGGAGCAACGCAGGAGGCAGTATTGTAAACTCTGTAAAATAAGTACTTACTGAATAACCGTGCTCATCGCCAAGGAGCTCGAGACGCGGGACCCTTCCTGGGTTCCTTCTCTAGCACTGGGAAGGGCTATTGTAATAAAGCTATCAATCGGAAATCATTAGGAGTATTTGCATATTGAAGCTGTATTTACATACACTACCCTTGAGAGGTTGCTGGTCCGCTCTGCAGTGTAGGTGGCAAAGGAAAGTGACTAGCTATGCACACATAGTGATCTCTGGTGTCACATTTCAGCGCCTGCTGTATTTTTAAAGTTTTGTACAGGCAGGTGGCCCCAGCCACAGTCACTATCTTCACACTGTTAAAAAAAAAATCTATCAGGTACCAGGTTGGGAATCTTCTCAGCACTAGTACTGGAGGCAGCTTCAGGTTGTGTCCCCCGCCCCCACCTTTTGTTTTCTTTCTAGAAATCTTTTAAGAACTCATCCCTGAGGTCTAAATACAAAACGGTTTACAGTTATTTACTCAAATCCTTTTCAGTGAATTTACACATAATTCTAGCTTAAGGGAAGACTACAGTAAATTGTGTGTTTTGAAAATCATTTTTCTAGAATACAATAAACTAGAAGGTCTGAAAAAGCATTCTATTTTTAAGTATCTTGTTTACTTTTTTATCTCAATCTGCATCTCCTCGGCCTTAAAGAAGGAGAAAGAGGGCAGAACTGGAGAAAAAGTAAAGCTTAATAATGGGGAAACTGTATATTTTCCTTCAATTAATGATTAATTCCTCAGCTGGTGGGCCAGCCGGTCTGGTCCTGGACACCAACTACAGCCATGTGCCTGCACTACAGCTGCTCTCGAGGAAGGAAAAGTTGGTGGCGCTAGGGTAGATATCACCTTCCAAAAATCCAGCCATCTCAGGTGGGAGGATGGAGCTGATGGTTTCCTGACCAGCAGGGAAATCTGCTCAGGGCCTGCCCAGCAAATGCTGTCTGTGACTTCTTTGCGAACAGCAGTGGAGTCCCTACCTATCCTCCGATATTAAGTCTGGAAGTGATTTCATCCCCGAGCCCCCACAGTTCGAACCTTTTGATGTACTTTGGGTGCATGTGTTTCTGTCACATACGTGCCACAGTGGAACAGATTTTGTTTTGACACTATTTTGGTTCATGATGTTATACTTTGACTATTTTACAATAATAGCCAATGTAAACAAACATCTTTGGGATTCTCAAATTATTACTTGTGATTCTTGGACATTGCAGCTCTGAGATACTGACGCATTCCTAGCTTTTTCCAAGGACACCGTATGTTAACATCCGTGCCAGCCTCATTATCCCTCCAGCCGGGCTCCGGGCTGCTTCCTAATGAGCGTTGTGCGGGATTACTTTACACACTCGTAAAGTTGATTAAGGAACTGCCTTCTCCCAGGCTCATCTGTGTACCCTGATGCAGTAAAGCTGCTAAATATGGTTAAAGTTTTCTGGTGTTTCTTCCTCTATCGGCCATGTCAGAGTCCAGTCAGCCTGGATGAGTGGAATTCGATTCGACTGGCAGGCCAACCAGTTCTATATTAATTTAAAGGTCAACTTAAGGGGACTATGAGGCTAAGTTCATGATTTTTCTTTTTTAAAGGCCTGAGTTCCTAGTACGTTCTGTCTCAGCAAGCCCAATACGACATTACCTTTAAAATTGTTTTAATCGGGAAAACGGTGTTGGAGCATTTTCGAGGTGGGTTACAAAAAAAAAAAAATCTGTCCATTGGCATCTCCGTGGGCTTGAATTTGAGGCCTCTAAAGCTGCAGATGGGCCCAGGATCTGCTAGATCCGTAGGTGGTGGAAAGGTGTGAATGGTTTCCGGTGGGGGGGTGGAGATGCATTCTCCCCCCCACCCTCTCTACTTAAAAGTCACGCCGGCCCGAGAAGGTCGCCTAACCTGGTTCCAGGGCTTCACTCCCTCGGTCTCCACCCTGGGCCCGGCCGCCGGCTCCCAGCGCGACTGGCCCCTCGCGGTAATGAGAAGCAGCTCCGGGCTGGGCGCGCCAAGCTGGCCGGACAGCCTTTGCAATTCCACCCCCCACCCCCCGCCCCGCGTGATGCAACTGGGGGCGGGAGGAGCCTGCGGGAAGGCGGGCGGGGGGGTGGGGTGCGGAGGAGGGGGTGTCTCAAGGTCCTCCTGGCACATCTGGCGCGCTGGGGAGCGCTCGCGTCTCTTCCCCCCGGTTTTGTTCTCCCAGCTGCGTCCACCCCGCCCGTGACCCCCCGAGCGAGCCCTGACAGGTGATGAATGCGCGGCGGCGGCGGCGGCGGCGCGCGGGCCGGGCCGCGGCGGGGCCGGGGCCGGAGCCCGGGAGCAGACTCTCTGGCGCCAGGCGCGTGACGCCGCCCATTCACGCCGCCCGGCCGCCTTGTCCTCGCGGCGCCGCTCAGGCGGCTGCCATGGCAACCGCGCCGTCACTCAGCGCGCGCGCCCAGCTGATCAATGCTTGCGAGGCCCGGCCGGCCCCGGCGCGCCCCGGCCCCGCCGCCCGGCCCGCGCGCACCTGCAGCCGCCGCGCGTCTTAAGTTTCCAGCGATTTGGGGCAAGGAAGGAGGACCGAGAAGAAAAGAAAAGGGGGGCTGGTTGGGAGAGAAGAAAACAAAAACAAAAACACATACACACGAAAAGCCAGGAGAGGGAGAAGAAAGAAATCTTCCTTGTTCAGAGGAGGCGTCATGTGGCTTAGAGGTTGCCAAAGCAAAAGGTTTTGCTTTATTTTATTTGTTTTTGCAACCGAGGCGCTCTGGGTGGGGCTGGCGCGAGGGGAGGGCGGATGGGGAGAAAGTGTCTCAGTGGAGGGTGAGAGTGATTTATTCTTTGGGATCCTCGCGAGGAAGACTTTGATGCTGGACTCCCTCAAAATACCTTTGCAGGGCCCCCTCCCTCCCGCTCCCCCATACTGCCCCTCCTCGGAACCTTGGGAGGTTGCCCTAAACGGCCTCCTCCCCTCGCCCTCTGGGAGGCTGGAGTTTGGGCAGCCGGGTCTCGCGGCTCCCAGCCTCTGCGCGCCGCCGACCGGCGTCTGCGCCCTCATTACCACTACAAAGCCGGGCAGACGTCGCCTCTTTCCAGAGCTGCGCTTTCAGCTGCGAACATCAAGAGGCCAGAAAAGTTCCAAGTGGGCCTGAGGACGCAGACGCCGCCTCGGTCCTGGCTTTATCTCTAGGGAAAGTTCCATTTTAAGAACCAGATGCCAACATTCCCGGACAGTTTATGGTATCCGGATCCCTCGAGGTGCGCATCCGCGGCTTAGAGTGTTAGCAGCAATTATTTATCGTCTGCCCTGGAGAGGAGGTCCCAACACGGCTGTCCTCGGCGGACCCTGGGGGTGGGGCTGGGGTGGGGACACACGACGGTTCCCGATCCGGTTATCTGGTTTAGCAGAGGTTTGTTGTGGTTTTCGAGGAAACAGCATCTGGGTTACATAAGGATTCAAGTTTTTGCTTTGCTTGTTTATTTAATACCTTGGCAAGAGGGAACTCTTCCTCTGAAACCAGATAACCGAATTTGGGTTTAAAACAGCCTTAGATGAGGGGCAACGAGAGGGGAAGAAAATGAACCAAACCACAAAAAGCAAACAAGGGGATGTTTATTTTTCTCCCTTTGGGTAGTTTTGAAGACCTGCCTAACCTCTTCTCGTCGCTCACAGCTAATAAATTGCATTAACAAAGCGCTTCAGCTACTACCGTGGCTTAGCGGGCATCCCTCCCCCGCGCCGCCCCCACCCCGGCCCTAATTCCTTCTAGGATTCGCGCGCGGTCCTGTTTGCCCAGAGATCTCAAGAGCACCAGGAAAAACGGCGTGCTAAATCCAATTGCCTTCAACCGTCTGATCTCCTTGTAGGGAGATCACCTTTCAGCCCCGTTCAAAGAAAGCAAAGTTTAGAAAGTTTGGCGGAGGGGCCGATTTAACTACCAGCACGACAAATATTTAGTTACAAACGCTGTGAAGTGCCCCGATTTGTGGCCGCGTTTGGCTTTCACAAAGGATTTTCCTGTGACTTTTGTTCCGGTCACCAAATTAAAAAAGAAAATTAACTTGAGCGAGAGATAAGAGCTTGGAAAACAACCCCCGGCCGCCCGCGAGCTGGCGGGCGCGGGGCTGGCGTCGCCGAGTCTGCGCCGCCCAGAGGCGTGCGTTGCGGGGGTCTGCCCCCCGCGGGGAGCCCGGGTCAACGCTCGGACCCCGGGCCGCCGCCCACCGTGCGCCCCCCTCTCGGCACGCAGCGCCCGGGTCGCCGGGCTGCCCGCCGGCGTCCGTGGGAAACCGCGGTAACCCTCTCCAGCCAGCGACAAGGGCGGGCTTGTCCGGAATCAGGCTGCATCTTAATATTATAATACGGCCCCCAAAGCAAAACCCGAGGCCCCGCTTGCGAGTCTCTAACAAGAAACACATTGTGCGCCTTTTCTTTTTTTTTTTTTTCCGCCTTTTTGGCCGAAGCCACATTGGCGCGCTGGCCACGGTACTGTGAGCCAAGTCAATGACTTCAGAGGGGAGGAACCCGCCTGCCCCGCACCACGTGCGCGCCCGGCCCGGATGGCCACCCCGCCGCGCCCTGCCGCCCTGTCCCGCCGACAGGTCAGGGGCTCCGGCCGGGGCCGGGGCCCGCTCGGCGGACACACGTCCTGCGCCCGCGGCGCTCTGGCCCCTGCCTTTTCCCGACCCGGGGAGGTACCCAGGAGGCGCCAGTGCCGGAAACTGATCGCTGGCCGCTCAAGTCGGCTGGTGGAGGCGCTTTATTTTAAAAAACTTTGACAGCCTTCTATGTCCCCCACCCCCAAGTCCGTGGGGCTTTTACTCCCAGGTTCTACCATCCCTATTCCCTAAAAAGGACAATTTACAGTATACCTTTTCTCAGCTGGAAATAGCCCGAGGGTTCTGCAAGCCCTCTGACCCCTGTCCCATGTCACTGCTGTCCCTGTCCAGAGGAGGTGACAGGATCTAGGGCTGAATTTTCAGGGATGTGAGTGCTGGGGACCTGTGGGGGCGCCCCGGGAGGAGCAGTCCTGGGCACCCACCCTCAGCCTGATGGTGATCACGCTGTCTTCCCAGCGCTGCTGATGTCAGGACCCTCATCTGTTTCTATGCCAATGCAGCCCATCAACCAGACTCTTTCTGCCGGTTGAATTAAGTGGTCCATTTCGTCTTAACCATTTCTGCCTTTCCTGGAGTCTTTGCGAAGAGCACAGATACATTACATTTCAAAGCAAAAAGGGAACCGTGATGACCCTTTCTATTTTAAAATTTTTATTGGAGTACAGTTGATTGATGGGGCTTCCCAGGTGGCTCAGTGGTAAAGAATCTGCCTGCCAATGCAGGAGAGGCAGGCAGGAGACCTGGTTAGATAGCTGGGGGGCAAGATCTGGAAAAGGAAATGGCAATCCACTCCAGTATTCTTGCCTGGAGAATCCCATGGACAGAGGAGCCTGGTGGGCTACAGTCCATGAGGTTGCAAGGGTCCGACACCATTTAGCAAGTGAGCACGTGCACACACACATATGCACACAATTGATTTACAATGCTGAGTTTCAAGTGTACAGCAAAGTGAATCAGTTATACATATGTATGTATCCACTCTTTAAGATTCTTTTCTGTATAAGCTATTACTCGGTATTGAGTAGAGTTCCCTGTGCTATACAGTAGGTTTCTTTTTTTAAAGTCTTTATTTTCATTTTCTTCTGTTATGTGTGTGTGTGTGTGTGTGTGTGTGCACGCACGTGTGTGTGAGTCACTTAGTCCTGTATGCTCTTTGCGACCCCACGGACTGTAGCCCACCAGGCTTCTCTGTCCATGGGGATTCTCCAGGCAAGAATACTGGAGTGGGTTGCCATTTCTTTCTCCTACAGTAGGTTAGTGTGTACCTGTCAGTCCCAATCTCTCAGTTTTATCTCCCTAACCTCCTTATCCCCTGGTAACCATGAGCTTGTTTTCCAGTGATGGCCCTCTCTAAGGGGAGGTTAATCGTTCACACTGGGTAAGAACAATCATTTACAAGCTCATCACAGCTTGCCTGTTTAGCTCTTCACTTTGCCCCCATGAGTTAGGAGAGGCAGATGCTGCCTCCATTTTACAGAAGGAGAAGCTGAGGCATAGAAGAACAACAGACGCCTCTGTGAGCCCACACTCCCTAGAACGGTACCTGTGATGATCCAGAGGTGTGTGACCTTGACCTCAGGTGGGATGTCAATTACTTTTTTAACCTTGAAATTTGTTCCAGTCCTGCAGGGAATTTATAAAACACTTTGCTTTCCCCTTCCTTAGGTATTAACACTGAGGGACTGAGCCTGACTCTCTATTGACAGAAGTTCAACTCAGGTCTGAGGACTTCACTTCTTAGTGCAGGTAACCTTTACAGAGTCCTGGGGCCCACATCTCTAGAAATTCTGCTTAATTGGGTTTGGTGAGTGGCCCAGGAAATGCTGAGGAGACATGGATGTAGGTGGTGCAGGTTCCACCCTGATGAAATGACAGGTAATCTGTGAGATCAGTCCTGTAGCAGCTGCAGTTCGCCTGTTCCTCTTGAGGACCCGTACATTTGTTTTTTGGAAAGCCCAAGAAGATAAGGAAGACAAGGGGTATGTTGCATTTACCCCCATCTTTACTTTCTGCCTTGTTCGGTCTTCCTTCCTGATGTTCCAATATTCTTTCTTTTGAAGGAAACTTTAAAAATTTGTTTTTTTTAAAAATTTATTTGTTGGCTGTGCTGGGTCTTCGTTGCAGCACGTGGACTTTCTTTAGCAGCTGCAAGCGGGGGCTTCTCTCCAGTTTCGGTGCATGGGCTTCTCATTGCAGTGGCTTTTCTGCAGGAGGGCATGCTCTCTAGGGGCATGCGCTTCAGTAGTTGTGGCACCTGGGCTCAGCTGTTCCAAGGCGTGTGGAATCTTCCTGGACCAGGGATCAAACCTGTGCCCCTCTGTTGGCAGATGGACTCTGAACCATTGGACCACTAAGGACGTCCTTTTTAAAATATTCATTTATTTGGCTGCACCAGGTTTTAGTCGTGGCACGTGGGATCTAATTCCCTGACCAGGGATCAAACCTAGGTCCCCTCCGTTGGGAGCACGGAGTCTTAGCCCCTGGACCGTCAAGGAAGTCCCTCCAATATGCTTTCTTTTATTATTTCCTTTCTTGTTCAAGGGCATCCTTTAGACATTGTTTAAGGGTAAGGTCTGCCAGTGACAAGCTCTCTTAGTTTCCCTGCGTCTGAGAAGGTCTTATTATCTTCTTGATTCCTGATAGATGTTTTTGCTGGATCTAGACTTCTGGTTTAGAATTCTTTCCACATTTGACATGCTATGCCACTTTACTCTAGTCTCTATGGTTTCTGATGAGAAGTCTGCTGTTTCTCAAATTGTTTTTTCCTTTGTAAATAAGATGCTTTTTCTCCCTGTTCTTTGTATCTTCCGTTTTCAGAAACGTGTCCGTGATGTATCTTGGCAAGGATTTCTTTGTTTTTACATTTTGAAGGTGTCTCAGCTTCTTGACTCTGTAGGTTTAAGTCTTTTGCCAAATTAGAAAAATTTTCAGCCATTATTTCTTAACATACTTTGTCAGCCCCTCCCTCTTTCTCCTCTCCTTCTGGGGCTCTGATGACAAGAATATTAGATCTTTTCTTATAGTCCCACAGGTTTGTGAGGCTGTCCTTTTGTGTGTGTGTGTGGCGGGGGGTGGTGTTCTACTTTTTCTGATGGTCAAACTGGATTATTTCTATTTTTATATCATCAAGTTTTCTACTTTGGCCACCTGATGTGAAGAACTGACTTACTGGAAAAGACCCTGATGCTGCGAAAGATTGAAGGTGGGAGGAGAAGGAAAGATTGAAGGTGGGACGACAGAGGATGAGATGGTTGGATGGCATCACCAACTTGATGGACATGAGTTTGGGCAAGCTCCAGGAGTTGGTGATGAACAGGGAAGCCTGCTGTGCTGCTGCAGTCCATGGGGTCGCAGAGTCGGAAATGAAAGAGGGACTGAACTGACCTGATGTTCAAGTTCGCTGATTCTTTTCACTGCCCTCTCCATTTTGCTTTTTGA